TCTCATATTCTAATACTCTTCTTTAAGAGCTGGGTTTATTCTCTTAACATAGCATTTAGGATTACTAATCTCAAATGAGAAAAACTAGAGAAACCTCAAATATTGTGTCTGGGCATGGGGATCAGGGTCTGTGTTGTTGAATTGAAATTGATGCATTTCAGTATCTCAAAGGCAGTTGAAAATGCTTTCATTTTAAAGAGGAGTTAGAGAAATCTCTTATTCTTGAATAACACAAGAGTGTTATAAAGGATTTTTCTCCACCTCCATGTTTTGCACCTGCCTCTCTTTTTTCCTCTCTCTTTTCCTTTTTTCGTTTTCCCTTCTTGTTTCCCTCCTACTCATCTTCCTCCTTTCTTTCCTTTAATATTTTCTAAGTGTATCATTAGAAGAGGCTTTTATGATACAGAATTTATAATCTGAGTATTTAACTGAAAAGATAAAAAATAAATGGAAAGTTTAACTTAAGAAAAAAGTGAGGCAATATAGCATTAAGTGCCAAAATGAGTGACACAAATGTTAAGTTCTCTAATTTTCTAACAGAAAAGATGTTTGCTAGTGAATTGGAATTTCTGGAAAAGTTAGATTTGACTTGATTTGATTTAACTAGATTTGACTAGATGAAGACTATAGCTGAACTTATAAAATTTTTAATAGATTTGTAAAATAAAAGTCTCCCCTAAGGGAGAAGCAACCATTTGCAAAGGCTGTTATTATTGTTAATAATTAGATCTTAACCTTCAAATTAAAAAGTTTGGAGACAACTTTACAAAATGGTTATTTGTAATGATTAGGAGAAGCTATTCTCTTTGGAGTCTATTTTTGCTAAATAGAGACTTTGAATGCTATTAGATGAACAGTTTGGCTTGAAAATGTCTTAGTCAATTGGAAAATAAAATTGAAACATTTTTGTCTCATGCTGAATTTTAACTTCGGTTGTGTATTCAATGGAGACATTTATTTCATTAACTCGTGATATTCTATAATATTTTGCATGAGAAGAATTACTAATTTTTCTTTAAATACTCTTCATAATCTTAGCATCATTAAATAGCATAAAAATTTTCTTCTGGTACTTAATAATGTTTTTAAATACTATATGGCAGAGGATGAGATGCTTAGATAGCATCACCAACTCAATGGACATGCATTTGAGCAAACGCTGGGAGACAGTGAAGGCCAGGGGAGCCTCGCATGCTATAGTCCCTGGGGTTGCAAGGAGTCAGACTTGACTTAGCAACTGAACAACAACAATAATGGTCTTAGAAGTCCAAATATTCAAGTTCAAAAGTTCTGCATGTGGAATGTTATTATTGAAATTATTGGCTATTCTGTGTTCTATTTTCAGGGCCTCTTAACATCTTGACACTGTTTTAATGACGACATCCTTTAAGAGGAATAACAACTTTATGCTCACTTTTCCCATTTTCAGGGTACTTTGTATTCTTCAGTGGATACTACCACTTTTTGCAATAACTGATCACTGAGCCATGACATTTATTCATAGATGCAATCCTCAACATTAATAAGTTCACTTAAAAACTTCAGATAAAATTATTTAAATGTATTCTACCTAGGGTAGGGTTTCTCAACTTCAGCATTATTGACTTTGGAGGCTTACTAATTCCTCTATTGTGAGGAGCTATCTTGTGCGCTGTAGGATATTTATCAGCTGAAAGCGACCCACTAGTAGTCAGTAGCATGTCCCTACTTCGAACACTCAGTAATGCCTCTCGACATCGGGAAATGTGCTCTAGGGAGCAAAATTGTCCCCAGTTAAGAACCACTGATTTAGGGCTATCCTTGCAGAACCATTGGAAACTCCAACTTGGCAATTTAAGACAGAAGCTTTGATCTAGCCTGTTGGTTTCAGGAGGCATGGCATACCTAGGGACATTAAAGTCTGATATTAAGTTTCTATTGTTTGATGGCTTGAGCAGTAAAAATTCATGAAGTTAGATGTAGTCAGTTTTGCATTTCCTTACTTTTGTACCATGCTTAGAATTAAGAAAATCCACAACAAGCAATCTAATCCTTCTAAGTGTGAACCTTGCATGACCAGAGAGGTAAGACATTTTTATCCAGAGACTGTTAAACCAAGTCTAACTAAAAGTTGGGTTTTCATACATTTAACATATTTAGAAAATAAAACTGGGATGGACCTAATACCACAAAAATAATTAAAGCTAAACTTACTGATGTCTCATAATTGTTCTAGATACTTTAGGGAAGGTTTAATTTCAGTGTTACAAAGCTTTAAATACTGCACAGAAATAGAACTATGGAGCTTTTTAATTTTGAGATTCAGATAATATATGGTACTTCATTTGTATATCCTAAAAGCAATTTATGGGCTAATAGGCTCACTTCTGATTAGATATACTTCAGAATATGTTTAATTCAATTTCTTATATATCAGCGACATCTTTTTTCTCCTCTAAGCAGAATTTCTCTTTATTACAGAATTCACTACCATAAGGCAACCTACACACTGCTATTTCTTCATGCAATGGGAATATTTTTGGCTTGAAAAATATTTTTATGTTCTGTTCGTTCCATTAGAAATTTGTACATCTCTAATCATACAGTTAAGAAGAAAAAGATACGCTTGCATAGTTTCCTTCCCATAATGAATATACAGTTTATTCTAATTCTGTTCTTAAATGTTTATGTGCAATTTCTTTCTAATGCAAGGAATTTCAGTATATCCAAATATTCAACACAATATGCACATCTATATTTATATGTCAAACATAAACCAAGCTATCAAAAGATAATTAGGTGAGACATGCATGTTTTGTCATAATTAATATTCTGTCAATAGGCTAGATAAGAAAACTCCAAGGGTTAATGTTTTGCTGGGCTGCCAGATACTGTTGCCAGTGAATTTTTCTAGCTCACTCCATTAATCCAGTCAGCACAATGGATCAGGCTAGAGATGTGTCTCCATAAATCACTCTGAAGTGCTGGGGGTAGGAGTATCTAATTAATCAGCACTGTCATTATGTTTGACTTGTAACTGCCTTGCTGTGTTTGGGATGGAGATTCAGTGTGTTTAACCCACATGCTCTTAAACAGATCTCCAGTGGTGTGTAAATTTTAACCCATTTTCAGAAAAAGTCAAGCAGCATGATTCAACCATATTTTTTAACAGCAATATATCTTTTCAACATATGACCCCTCATTGCGTTCAGTTAATTTTTCATTTACTACAGTAGATCTCCATTTGTAGCGTTAAAAACAAGACCTATTCAAATATTATTTTGTATATTAATACTATGGTCAGGACAAAAATATATCTTAAAATATTCTCTTAACCAATAGGAAAGGACACTTAAAATGAAAAGAAATTTTGTATTTTAGTTTTTAATGTCATCATCAGTGAAAATGTATTCTGTATCTTTGATTTTTGCTTTTGAATTTCAGTATTTTTGGACCATATATTTTCATAGAGTATTTTTTCCATTTAAGTGATTTTTATTCACTCATGAAACAATTACTTTATGGTTTAAAAGTTATTTAACTAGATATTAACCATTTTTCAAATGTGTAAACTACTTCAAAGACTTGCTCTTGGGTATATAGCTGATACAAGACTGACTCAGTCTAGATCATGTTTCATATCCCTTAGGTTACCAAGAAAATAAATATGAAGGATAGATTGTAAAATAGACTTTTGGACATAGCCTGAGGAGTCCACCATTATTTTATAACACCCCTTATATTTTATGACAACTAATTACTAGGTAGGGCTACAAAATTACAACTTTTTCCCACAAAACCCAAAATTAGGTAGCACTATTAATCCTATAAAGTGTAGATAAGTTTTAGATTTCTTCAGTGAATCTCTGTCTACACAAACACACGCACGCGCATGTGCACGTGCTCACATACACACATATGGCAGATGGTTTTCCAATAAATACATTCATCTTGACAAGAATGTGGGAGCATTGATCTTTGGAGAAGGAACACTTATTTCAATAATGATGCAATCAGTTGTCAAATATCTCTGGAAGTCATCTTTTGATCAAAGTAATGGTGAAATTTGATTCTCCAAGAATGAATTTTATTGTCAATAAGAGCCAAATGTCCTTCAGCAATAAATTCGGTGATTAAGAATATGAACTAATTAGATAATGTTAAATAGAATAAAACTGACAAAAACTGCAGAACAATAAATCAATTTTTCTTGTAAAATTTTACTCACAAAGAAGTTTAGCACATATGCCAGAAAAGTAAGGTTTAGGTCTATTAACAAAAGTGCATTAGTCTGACTAAATAAAAAAATAACTCAGATTATGTATGTTGTAGCATTGGAGGAGGAAATGGCAACCCACTCCAGTATTCCTGCCTGGAGAATCCCAGGGACGGGGGAGCCTGGTGGGCTGCCGTCTATGGGGTCGCACAGAGTCGGACACGACTGAAGTGACTTAGCAGCAGCAGCAGTTTGATGCTGGAAAATTATTGTACAGATAGATAAGGAAATGGAGATATGTATATATCATACATTCACATGTGCATTGCGTATATCTGTACAAAACGTGCAGACATAGGTTATATGCTTTACATCATATTATAAATAGTACAAAAATATTTATGTATAGTATTGAACTTAATAGTAACTATTTGCATTTAAAGCATATTTAACAAAGTTCATAGTATAAATATGGGATTTCTTTATTACTACTTTTCATATATTTTCCCTTCTGTTTCTTATAGTTAAAGTTGGTGCTGCTACTCCTCATCATTAAATGATTAATTTACTTTTTCTTTTTCAGTGGTCAGAAAAGACCTACTAATAATCCTCCATCCTACTATGATTAGAAGTGCTGGTTTGCAAGTGAAATGGGATGCCAACTTTAGTTGTCATTAACTGACAGAAAGTCTAGCTGATGAATTGGGGGATCAAGCTTCTCATTTTTGTCCTGTACTAACTGCTCTAAATCTCTGGTCTTGCAAAAAGACTTCAGAAACTAAGAAGTAACTAAAAAGATACTCACCGAATAGTGTCACAGAGACCAGAATAACAAAATCCATAAAATACTTTGCTCAAATCATGGAAAGAAATCCTCTATCCCGAGATGTTCCTGTTTCTGCAAATGTAAATCTTTTAGGGACTTTCTACTAGATGATTTGTAATTCTCAGCCCAATTCTGCAAAATGAGAAAGTATACTTTGAACTTTTAAGAATCATCAAAAATTTCATGGAAAACAACCCCAAGTATATGCACTTTATAATGGCTACTAAGCTTTGGCTAAAAAGAACCTTTGGAGATAAAAATTCTTGCAGAGTGTCCACACAGAAACAAATGATACTTACATTTTAAAATGTGACACAACATTATGTTAGTGATGACTTTTAAAATACTATTATGTGAGAGGAAGCTGAGTAACTCATGTGTTGTGAACTTGGAGAGGCTTCTGATACAGTTCATCGGAACTTGGTCTTTTATATTTCACTTTGTTTGCAGATATGTGTTATTTTGAACCAAAATATATTCAGGGTACTATGCTAGTACCTGAGTAAATATGTAAATAAGACTCACCGGGGTTGCATTTAAAATATTTTTTATATATACATATGAAAATGTAATTTTTAAAATTTCTTTGTTTTCNTTCACTTTCATATATATATATATATATATATATATCCCTTCCCTCCTAAACTTCCCTCTCCTCCCCCGATCCCACCCCTCTGGTCATCACAGATGGCCAGACTGGGCTCCCTGTGTTATTTGGCAACTTTCCACTAACAATCTATTTCACACCTAATAGTGTTTACATGTCAATGCTACTTTCTCAATTCTTCCCACCCTCACCTTCCCCTGATGTGTCCACAAGTCTGTTCTCTACTAGGTTCATCAGTGCCATTTTTCTAGATTCCATATACAATAGCTTAACTTTTGTGTGGGGTTTCTTATTTTATCTGTAAGTAGTTTGGAGACACTACCTGTGTGATGCACACTGTGGGGGAAAAGGAAACAGAGGTTGTTTTTAGAGCTATGAGATTGGCTGGTATGTAAAACATATATAATCATGAACATAATAATATAATGTAGCAGAAGGGCTAAGTGATTATGAAAAACAGGACATCAGGGCTGAGGAAATTAGAAAGGCTGAGGCAGGTTCCTAGGTGGTTAGAAGTCAGAAGGTCATTTCAAGTATGAAAAATAATGATAGTTTTAGCAGAAATAATGAAGTAGGAATATTCAGAGCACTACAAGTAGAATGGTCCAGCTTGAATGATGAGTGGGGGATAATGATGGAAAGTGAGATTGAAGTGAAATTATCAAGAGCCCTGAATTCTACAAAGCAGTTCAGAATTACCTTATTAGCCATGGGCAGCCATTGAATACATCTGATGAGATTAATAATAAAATGAACAATTTTTTTAAAAGAGTGATCTAGTGTTTGTGCATAAAGATATAAGTGTGGGAGGTGTGAACTCAAGGAGATCATTTTGGAGGCTGCTGACAGAGGAGTTTAGAGGGGAAGTGATAAGGACCTGGAATAAAGTAGTGACAGTTGAAACTGGCAAGCGTGGAAGGCCTCGAGAGCCCTAATGTAGGATATATATACAGTGCTTCTGCCCAAGGACTGTTACCAAGTCCTGTAGCAGATACAAAGGAGGGAAGGTCCAAAATTAAATATAAGCTGCTAGGTGGTTAAAAATCTGGTAGTGACAATACTGAATAAAATACAGTCATAAGAATTTAAAATTTTAAAAAACACAGGTTTTATTTTAGGCATGGTTATTTAAAAGTGATATTGGGAAAAACAAGAATTTTTCTTTACCATAGTCATATTGATACATACACATGATGAATGAAGTGAATTTGGGATAATTATTGCTTTATTTTGACCAATCTGGAAATCTAATATGGATTTCATTTTTAATTAAATTTTCAGAATTAAAGGACTTAATTTGCTGCCAATAGCAGAAACCATATTTCTCGGTTATTTTTCTACTAGGCTTTCCTGTACACAATCAGTCTGTGTGAATGTATAGTTTTTGCACTGAAAATAAAAGTTTAATAGTCATAAGCATATTTTTCATTTTTAAATATGTATTATGATTGAAAGTACACATAGTATAATAGTAAATATCATAAAACACTACTTCTGATATATTACATTGTTTTTAACTTTACCGACCATTTATTGGCTCAAGGATTTAAAAATTATAGATACATGTTTATAAGAAAGTATTAGTATATAAGATGTATTGTTAGAATATCAAACTTAGATTTATGACTCTAGAAAAATTTCTTTTTCCACGCAGAATAAGGCAAACCTGCATTAACCAGTTGTATTACTTTTTGTAGGAAGATGGCTGTGGTGGACCCTGATTGCAGAACTAGGAGTATTCTAAAGAATTTTAAAAACACACACATACACACTCACACATGCACACACACTGACACATATGTCTCATTAGGATCAAACATTGCTGATTTTCTGTCAGAAATATTATACTGAACTGACTTGTTCAGAAAGCTTTTGAAATCATTTTCCAATGATTTATTTCATAACGATATGAACTGTAGGACAGAGGTCCCTTCTATTTTATAGGTACTATATGCTTTAGCAAACAATTCTCTGAAGTCACAGGCTGTTCCCGTTTGTGGCAGGGAAAGCACTTGGGTGGTCCTCGGGGGAAACCGTAGGCAGACAGTGTGGCTGTAATCTAATCTGTACAGCAAATCACCATAGAGCCAGGAAGAGAGAGAGGTGGTGGAAGTCTCCACCTAAACCAAAATGTGGGAAAGAAGTCAAGTGCGTTACTAGTAATACTCCGTTTAAAAATAGAGGAACTGCTGTGTGACTGTTTCACTGTTTTCACTTTATTAAAAATGCCCTGTTTTCTCCCGTAGTTTGAGAGGATAAATGTGCTGTGCTGTGCCCTGTCGCCCAGTTGCGTCCGACTCTTTGCCACCCCATGGGCTGCAGCCCACCAGGCTCCTCTGTCCATGGGGATTCTCCAGACAAGAATGCTGGAGTGGGTAGCCTCTCCCTTCTCCAGGGGATCTTCCCAACCCTGGTCTCCTGCACTGAAGACAGAGTCTTTACCAGCTGAGCTACCAGGGAAGCCCCTAAATGCATTTCACAAGCACAGTTCTTAAAAAGGTAGTCCAACTCACGTGGCATTCCCTAGGGACAATGAAAGAGGGCGTTATCAGAATCCCTTCTGAAGAGGAACTTATCCTGGAATTTTCCCTTTTTGATCTCTGATTTCAACAGCTCACCTAAAGTGAATTTCCTCGGGCTTGGATCTGCTTATCGTTCAGAGGAGGCAATGTCTCTGCACTGTGAGCCCCCAAATAGCGTTTAGAATTAACTGCATTCATGTTAGACCACCTGTTCAATGTTTATTTGAAGTACTAAAAACTTCCTAGTCATTCCAGTAATTTTATATATTCATTCATCCACTCATTTATTCATTCACTCATGTTCATTCAACCAATCTTCACAATCTTCTTACAATGACTAAGATTTTTTTTAATTAGGTGCTGTGGATAAAATAAGTATTCATAAAAAGGGGGACATGATCTCTTCTTTCATGGAGTTTACAATAGTATAATAGAAGACAGTAATTATTAAAATAATTTCAATAGGAATGCACAATTGTTACCTGAAATTATGGAAATTCAGATATAGAAAATGTAGATATATCATGACCTGTTTCACAAACACAGTAGTCCTATTTGCTAAGGTATTATATATATACCCCCATGAGAAGTGAGTGTTAATATATATTAATATACAGTATCTAATTTGTTTACTGAGACAGTTATATTGATAATTATATCATTTTATAATATGACAATTATAGAGACAGTATAATTTCCCTCAAGTTTTGTTTTTGGATATATGTTTATGGATGAACTTTAATACAAATTCAACCCTTAGACAGAAATACTCAGCATGAATTTGTGGGAAAAGAAATAATTTTTTTCTCATAAGAGAACATTACTATTGGTTAATATTGTTATTATTTTTTAAAAAAAAACCCTTAAGAGTAGTTTCTTCCCAATGATAACTTGTTAATTTGAATATTTTTTCCTTAATTTTTATAAATTGCAAGAACAGGGCAGAATATTTAAATATAAAGGAAATCAGCAAGATGAAAGAGGCAATTTCGTCTATTTTCTCAAGCATCATAATGATACAGGCATATAAATATGCTTAGTGAAATATCTGCCTAGGTTTAGTAAAGAATGTACAAAGCCATTAAGAATAAAAGAGATGCTATTTCTTTGACACATCAGGTTTTCTGATGTGCTGTCGAGTTCATTCCCACCAACCTGAAGATCTTTCATGAGAATGGCAGCAGAAGCAATCTCTATTCCCTGACATCTGGACACACACATTAGTGGCAGGCGCACCAACCATAAGGGCATAAAACTAGGCTAGAGATCTGGATGCATCATCTGGTACCTGTTATAAGTCAACATAGATTCTGCGCTAAGTGGTTCCACAGCTTGCACCAAGCAAGGAGCAAGCCCCAGGAGAAAAAGCCAAAAGCAATAATGCTCTGAAGGGCCGCAGAATTGTGGCAGTCGTCTCAGTTAGCGACATTGACGATACTGATGACAATTAGGAGAGAGGGTTTAGAATGTGAATGGGGAGCAATTCAGCTGCTACAATATCCATCAGCAGACTGTTGCCTGAGGCAGAAGGACCCTGCTGTCCTTTATTTTTCTGTTGTTACTGAAGCACTGAGGAGAGGTGGGGGTGGGAAATGGGAATTTATAAAATTTTTAATAAAAATTTCACACAAAAATTATTGTTGAAGAATTTTAAATGAGCCCTTTTAAGAAAGAGTTGATTGCTGCTTCTACCTTTAAATAAATGTGAGCTATCCCACTCATACACAGGCATAGTTCTCAATTTAAAAAAATATTGAAAGAGAAAAAGTTTATATCTGCTCAGAGGAAGTCATTGGATTAACACTATTAAATGTTCAACTATTTCCTCCTTGCCCTAACTTGCCTTGGTAATAATTTACAGCAATGTGATGGTACCTAGCCATTGTTTAGACCACTGTTACAATTTTAGCTGTCACTGGAACCACACTGAGCAAACTTTCATTTTAGGTTTGACAGACAGCTTGTTGTAGTTTAACATAAATTAATGAGCATTTCACAGGTCACTAATTTTTTTTTAATTAAATATTCATTTTGTATATACTAAGGAAGCTGGTATCTTTTATTTTCACGGAGAATTATTTTTATATGTAAGGAATCTTATGATTAGATATGTCATATAAACAGAGATACATACTGAGATGTATCAAAAAGCTGAAAAATCTTAAACTCTAGAATATGTAAAATCCAGAAAGTATTGAAAGGCAAGATTTTACTAAAGTGTTATCTCTAAAATGCAAAATATAGAATACAGGTAGCAGGTTGCCTTTATATCCTAGAAAAAAGAAATATGTTTTATCTTTAGGTCCTAGAAAGAAAAAATACTATTCAAGTCTAGTAGTGATTTTTCATCATATGCCTCAAATTTCTTTAATTGTGTTCTACAGAAGTGCTATAAGAAATATAATTTCTAATCTTCATTGAGTAATTCTGCTTCGGGACTCAGAACAAAAGCAAGAATTCTAAAATACATGGAATGTATTTCATAATGATCAGTTCTAAATGTTTAAAAGTTCAAGTTAAAATCATTTTCCTCAGGTTTCAACAGACATATGATTTTTAAAAGCAAAGATTATTTGACAAATTCTCTTTAATATATCACACAGATATGTTTTATTAGACTAGTAAAATGAAGCTTAAGCAATTTATTTTAAAATGTTATCCTAACTTTCATGCAGGATCTAAATTAGAGAATGACAGGCTTTTTGATTTAGCAGAGAATACATTTTATTTCACACTATTAACTTTATTTTGTTTTAGTTCTATATTCTCTGAACTGATAACCTCATATATAAAGAGCTTTAAATGCAATAGAAATAAGATAACGCGACCAGATTTAAAATTCAGTTGGATTTGTAATGATTTTTATTATTGTTACTCTGTACTTGTAGCTAATTTGTTTACAAGGGAAATACCAAAAACAACTTATCACTAAGAATTCTAAAAATCATACCAACTTGCACCTGAGAAGAATTTTCAGCAGGGAAACAAAATAAGGCCAACCTCAATCATGGCTTATTAAATTACAGCTGGTCCAAAACTGTTTGATATTCAAGCAGCTAATTAGCAATGGAGATGGCTAATTCAAGCTCTGGGCTTTGATCTCTGGGTTCACCCAATATTTATTAGTTTTATTTAAAAAAAGAATGGAGAGGGAAAGCATCCTGAAAGCTGGAGGAGACAGTCTGAACAGTAGTTTACTTATAATTTACAGACTTGTGGTACTTAATATATAATGCAATAATCTTCCCAGTGCCATTTGTCATTTGGACGCAGCCACAGATTATAGCTTAGGGCACTGCATCTGTGCACAGATCTGGCAGGAAATGGTCTAAAATCTTGAACAGCTGAGCATGATGTTTCGGTATAGCTGGAAAATTCAACCTCTGCTCCAGAGGTCACTGCATGCTTCTGTCCTGACAGCCCAAATTGTTAAGCATGTGACTAATATGCATACAGAACACGGGCTGCCTGTCGTCTGCTACAAGCTTGATGGCTGGTTAGCGGCTAGTCTTAATTTTATGTGACAATCCTATGTAGGAAGTGCTGTGTGGGTGACTAAATGGAGCATATTGATGTCCCACTGGGTGTAGCCCCTGTTGTTTTGACAAATTCTCCTTAGCATTTATCAATCAGGCCTTCAATGGGGAGTGTGCTGAATATCTAATTCAGACATGCTAGTCAGGGCTAATAGAGCAAGATAGCATGTTATTCAATTTGTACTTGTTAGTGATGTCCCACTGTCACTGGGCAATTTACCTTCACACTTCACAAATGAAAAGAGAAATTTGCTGGGCTTCAAACACTTACATGAGTTACAAGCAAAATTTTAATTAGCATGTCATTACAGCAATAATTTATTGCTTCTTTGTAGTTTTCCTCGCATACAGATTGTGCTTTTCCTATTTTCGAAGGGATGTCCTCAAAGCTTAGGAAACAAGTAATAATAAGGACAGCTAATAAGCTTTACTCAAAGATGCATATTGATGTTTTCTGTTTGAGACATTTTCTGTAACTGTTATACATGGAGGTTAAATGGATCTCTATGATTTATGTGTGCGGTTCAATGTTTTTTACCACTTCTGTTGTAGTAGTGTGTTTCTTTATGTGAATAGGTTCTACCGTGCTTTGGTTCATTCCTAAATATCACACATGTAGGCAAACTAAAGAAGGCATACTTACTGTGATGAAAAGCACTTGATGTAAGCGAGGGGAACTTCTGGAGTTCTTCCAGTAGGAGCACTTGTGATACACAAGGGTTTTTCTAGGTTGGGAACAAAGCAGCATCCATTGTCTTCTACCAGCTCTTTATGGAAAGTTGTCTAGACGCCCAGTCTTTAATCAGCTGTCAGAAAAAACATGTTTCAAAAGGAGGGCAAGGAGGAGGAGCTGCCGCTGTTCTTCATGCGTGGCCTCAATCTGGTGTCCTCAGAATACAGAAATGGAAGCGTGACCTAGATTATCCAAGGCGGACAGAAACAGAGGAGATAGTCTGAATATACAGAAATGGCATTTTTAAATGGATTAAAATGAAAGCGGAATCAAGACTTTGATCACAGCATTGGAATATTTTAAGGGGTTATCTTGGTCAAAACCTCCTTGCTTGAAAGGTCTAGTCAGATCACTGAGAAAGACAACTAATAGTTCCTCAGAACAGGTAGGTAAGTCAAGGAAAACAAACACAGCTGAGTGGGATTCTGCGTATATGATCTGACCTAAAAGAGCATGGTTTGAGGAGTAAATTTCCCCATCTCTTTCCAAATCTATAGAAATATGACTTTCTGGTCATTAAATTCTATGTTACTAGTTTTACAGAATATGGCTGTAGGACCATCTTCCATAAGGGCTTCCCTCGTGGTTCAACTGGTAAAGAATCTGCCTGCAATGCAGGAGACCTGTGTTTGATCCCTGGGTTGGGAAGATCCCCTAGAGAAGGGAAAGGCTAATCACTCCAGTATTCTGGTCTGGAGAATTCCATGGACTGTATAGTCCATGAGGTCACAAAGAGTCAGACACGACTGAACGACTTTCACTTTTCCACCGAAGCTTCCTGTCAAAGGAATGGGATCTTGGGTTGCAATTCTACTTCAAATGGCAGGATTGTGTCTTACTCATTTCAGTAGGCCGTTGACTAGCATGGGCAGAGCTTCCAGCAAGAGCTTAACATACAGCTATTGAAAGAATGAACAAAGGAGCGATCAGACAAATGAGCCACAGAAAAGAATGCAAGAATAAATTTGTACTCCAACTTTTTCCTTTATCCAGGGGACTAGTTAAAAGTATTATTTGAAAAATACAGGGAATCAGAACACCTTATGTAAGTCTAATACTTTGGGAGGTTGAAAATGTATCTAGGACAAAGAAGTTTCCTAGCATTGTGAGCAGTGTCTGTTTATTCATCTTTTATTAATCTTTCCTAGTTGTATATGTTTCAGACATAATCAACTTTTTTTAAAAAAGTCTTTTGCGGGGGCAAGTATGCACAGAATATGTATAAAAAGCTTTGTCATAATAATTAGACTAATCAATCACATGATCACTCTAATATTTTTGAAGTATGCATTGTGTATATGCATGTGTGGGCGTGGGGTGGTTCAAGAATATTGTTAGCATTGCCTTCTGATTTCAGGTTGTTGTATGAGTGTGTGTGTGTCTTCCATTGGAAAAATCTTGCCCTGATTAAAGAGGCTACTTTTGAATAATAAGAGCAACATAGTCTTTCTTAATACAATTCTTCACAGAGAGAATTTTGAAGGATTAGAATGAAATCATGACACCTAATGTGAATAATTAAATATCACTAGTTAAGCAGCTCTAGTATGTATTGCAGTTTTACTGAGGGAGACTAAATTAACAAATACTTTTTATATACTAAGCAAATTTCATGCAAGATGATATGCTAAGAATAATACACAGTTTAAAACCAATTGATAACTGCACATTTCTAGTATTTTTTAGATTAATAAGTAGGTAGATTCATACATACATAAAACATTCAAAAGCATATGTGCTCATACTGGAGTGACATTAAGGACTATTTCATCTTCTCTTGACATACTTTTCTACTCCAAATATCTTTGAAAAGACAAAATTAACATTTTTTAAAACTTTGTTTTGGAGTTATTTTTCACTTCACTTTCCCTACTCAGTCTTAAAGAAGACAAAAAAAATGTAGTAGTGTGTTTGTAGAATTTGGGATGAGCAGTAGAAACAGTGGTTCTAGGTTTTAATTGGAATTCAGTATATATTTTTAGAATGTTACAATGATCATAATACTGTTGGGTGCTATGGTAATCAGAGACAAAAATGAACATAAGGTCAGACCTGTAAATATTTATCCTACAATGCCAAATAAAAGTGTCCTGATGGCTCAGCAGGTAAAGAATCTGCCTGCAATGCCAGAGACACAGGAGGTGTGTGTTCGATCCCTGGGTCAGCAAGATCCTGTGGAGGAGGAAATGGCAATGCATTTTCACCTGAAAAATCCCATGGACAGAGGAGCCCAGCAGGCTACAATCCACAGGGTTGCAAAGAGTCAGACACGACTGAGCGACTAAAACACACACGCACACACAGTGAGAAACTAAGCATGCATTAAGAGTCAGAGGAGAGGAGTTCCACACTATTTGAGAATATCAGACACAAATTCATGGAGAGAATGGTTTTTGAAATGGGCCTTGACGAAAAGGTAGAATTTCAAGAGATAGCAATGTGGGTGTCAGAGAATGCATCAAGCAAAAGGATCAACAATAAAAGCACACACTCAAAAAGCAACCAGGAAACACAAATACAGTGTTTTTGTATTTGTGTTTTTGTCTTTTGTATTGCACCGAAATAGAATATGGTACAAAATTGTAGCATAGTAGTTTAACTGAGTGTAGAGTATATGAAGAGAGTAAGCACAATCTGTATAAGGCAGCAAAGATTCTGGGGCCAAATTATGAAGGACCTAGTTCCTGCTTCTCATGAATGCTCCTAATTTAATACGTAGCAGAGACACCTTAAAGAATTTTGAACAGAAGAGTGAAGTGACTGGTTGGAACCCAACAGCAAATTGTAGGATGGATTGAGAAAGGAATTGGTAGAGACCTCAGAGCAATTGGGACTCTATTGAAATGAATCAATTGAGAATTTTGTTAAGAACCCAGTGTCAGGAAAGGGATAAGATAAAACTATATTTGCATAATGAATTCATGGATTTCAGCTACTTAATTGTACTTCAATTCAAATTCAACAATTGGTACAAATACAGAGTTGCATCAGAAATAAGCGTGCAGCATATTTGAAAGAAATGATCAGTATTTCTTGGTTGGCGTTTCTTTTTGCATTCTATTTAAATAAACATGTAAGCAATTAAAAGTCTGGAAAGTACTCAATTAAAGCACATAATCAGATTTCTGAATATATATACTTAGAGATAAAGATAGAGGAGGAGGAGAGAGAGGAAGAGAGAGAGAAAACACTGTATTATTGGGATCAAATTTGATGAAAACATTGAAATCTTTTTTGCCAGAGCATATAACTCAATTCCCTTTCCGGGAAACTGACTTAAATCAGCATGTTCTCTTTGTTGTTATTGGCCAAAAATTCAGGAAGTAGATTTTTAAATTATACTTATTTTTTGTTTATTTGAATCTGCTGTAGTCCAGGGGAAATTTCTCTCAAATAGGAAGAAGTTATATGTGTCTCTAGAATTTGTATGAAAATTGAGACAACATCCTCCAAATTCTTGGCTACTGATCCATCACCTTTTAAGTTCTTTTGAATAATAACCAGATAGCATGTAAATACAAAGCAAAATGCTAACCTTTTTTATTCTGCAGATATTAACATGAAACTCCACTAGTCATTTTTGCAATTAAACAGTATTTTTATTCTCTACTCTTGAAATGCAAACTGACTCTCCAGTTTTCAGTGCTTCAATGTATTTTTGTCCACACTAGCCTAGATTTAGTATATGTAAATATTCTTTTGTTTAAAAGACTGAACTAAGATCTGAATCAATCTCATGAAGAATTATTTTGTTTCTGTTTTAAATATTTAATATTTCATTCTTTTTTAAGGAACTAAATGTAAATATTGTAATTAGTGCATTCTAATGGAAATTCAGGCATACAACAATGGAATTGTTTTCTGAAAGTCTTAAAATATTAAAAACTGAAATGAGTCCAATCCTATACAAGCTCTTGCTTCAAACTAATTACGTTTTTAATTTGCCCTTTCAATTTATAGTAGACAGATCCTGCTTAACCCAAATTTCAATCAAACTGGCAAGTCCTCCTTCCTCATAAATTGCTAGGTGGGAAGTTGCAGCCCGGCTCTAAACCTGCTATTGTTGTTTTTGTCGTTGTGTTGTGCTCAGTTGCTATGTTGTTTCCACCTGTTTGTGACCTTCCAGGCTCACATCTCATGGACTGTACTGGCCAGGCTCCTCTATCCATAAGATTCTCCAGGCAAGAATGCTGAAGTTGAATACACTCCAGTAATACACTCCAAGAATTCATTTCCTTCTCCAGTGGAACTTTCTGACCCAGAGATCGAACCCACGTCTCCTGCATTGGCAGGTGGGTTCTTTATCACTGAGCCACCTGGGAAGCCCCTTGTTGATTTTAAAATGACCCTTTTATTTTTGCGCATCAGTCAGATTGAGATCTTCTAAGGTGTTTGAAGCACCTTCTTTCACATTCTTTAAAAATACCGTTTCTCCTTTTCCTAATTAGTTAAGGATTTTTTACTCTCTCTTCACTTATAAACTGAAGAAGGTATTCACTAACATACTATAAACGTAATTTTAATAGGAAGATTAGCAAAAATAAATAAGAAGAATATGACAGTCCTATTTCCAGGCAAAAAAACATAACAATACCAAGTTTATTTCATATGGAATCATTGCAATGTGGTAAATAATTTCTTTATGGTGAAATAAATGTTTATTTTATTTTTGAACATCTACTTTGATCATGTTGTTGCATTAATATTCTTTACTCACATTTATATATACACAATACTTTGAACTTACATAATTTTCAATAAGAAGAAATAGGTATGAAAAATCATATGATAAGGAAACTGAATGGAGATGTAGATCAATTACCTACATCTTCCTAACCTTCATATCTGATCCATTGGGTCCTATGGATTTTAGCTTTTAAATATCTCTTGGTATGTCCAAATTGCTCTGTGACCATCTCTACCACCCAAACCCAAGATGCTAAACTCTTGTGAGTTACCACAGAAGATATTCTTTCAAACTTCAAATCTGTTTTCTACCATGTAGCCAGAGTAATCTTTACAAAGTGCATTATCTGGTTATGTCACAGTTCAATTTAGAACTGTTTAATTTCCTATTGCTTTTAGGATACTGACATGCTCCATAATATGATCCGTCTTATTGTTCTGACCCATCCCTATCTCTGCCCTCTGGGCCCAATGGTTCTTTTTCAGTCTTTAGCATTCATTATGCTTACCCCAGGACCTTCACGCATGAAATTTTTATTCATTTGGAATGCCTTTTCCTTTCCGATGGTTTTAACCAATTCTTAACTTACTCTTCTACAATTCTTGTTTGTTCTTCCTGAGCTCTCAGAATGGTCAAGTTCTTCTTTCAACATACTCAGAGCACCTCACATGTAATGTGATGTTTACTTAGGAAGTTATTTGATAAATTAGTCTCTGCTCTTTTTTGATCAAGTTGTAATTTCTACAAGGACAGAATTCTTGTCTTTATTTTTGTGTACCTGGTATATTGTAAGCAGTCAGTAAATATTTCCTGAATAAACACATGAGAGTAAACATGAATCCAGCACCGGCCCATTTTAAGAACTAACTATAGAAAAAAGTATGAAGTCCTTTCGACCTCTCTTCTCCGTGCGTCTCTGATCT